ATGTGCGTAATCTGAAATGCGTACCGTCACTTGTGTCACAAAGCGCATTTGCGTACCGACGTACTTGTGAAGCTTTTCCAGAAGGCGATTAGATCACCGGACGACAGAGTCGGTCTCCGTGTGCACAGACAGGGCTGCTGTTAACGTCGGTCTGTACAACGGAATTGTGCCAAATCTACGCCAACCGGCTGCGGAGGGAGACTCCCCCCCTTCACTGGAGAACTGCGCTAAAACAGCTGATCACAACGTTCACACTCTGTGGTCACGAAGTACTCCACTAGCCGCCGCCGCCGCCCCCCCCCCCCCTCTGTCGACTTTCCTGAAGTACTCCCCGTTGATAGAAATCAACACGTAATGAATTAAGACCCCACGGTTTGATGATTGATAGGTGTGTGGGTTGTCTTTCATTTTGACACGCATACCATTTTTATAATAAACATAGATACTGTATGTTAAATGGATATATCCGCCTTCTTTCATTTATCTTTCCATTCCCACGACAATATGCATCAATAAATGGCATATTTTGGACATAGTTCGAATGGTGATTAATCATGATTAATTAATTTTTAAACTGTGATTAATCTGATTAAAAATGTTAATCGTTTGACAGCCCTAATATATATATATATATATACATGCTATATATTTATTTCTATCCTACATCGTCAAGGCGTATAAACCTATAAACCGGCGGAAGTGTCACAACTTTCTTGGTTTGTGATTATAGAGAGAGATAGAAAGCGAGACAGAGATAGAGATACTGTAGAGATAGACAGACATAGAGAAAGACTGTGTGTGTGTGTGTGTGTGTGTGTGTGTGTGTGTGTGTGTGTGTGTGTGTGTGTGTGTGTGTGTGTGTGTGTGTGTGTGTGTGTGTGTGTGTGTGTGTGTGTGTGTGTGTGTGTGTGTGGTGTGTGTGTGTGTGTGTGTGTGTGTGTGTGTGTGTGTGTGTGTGTGTGTGTGTGTGTGTGTGTGTGATGATTCTGAAGGTAAACACAGTGAAGGCGGAGTGAAAGGCACTGCGCGCTCCTCTTCTCAGAGGCTGAGTTAACCCTCCCGCTGCCTCCTGGTGCTGCAGAGATTTCATGAAGTGAAGGAGGTTTTCCTTCTATAAAACAGCTGCGGGCAGCAGATACTGTGAGAGTCACATGAATACATAGATCAAGGCAGACTGGTGCACACACTCTCCTGTTTTGCCGATCCGGTGCTTAAAGAAATATAGCTCTACACCCCTGGCCGAAATGTCCTTAAAATTAAGTCCGAGTTTGACATTTTAATTCATGTCCTGCCAACACTGGCAGGACAGAAGGCGACACGCCCGTTCTAAGCCGTGTCCCTCACTCCTCACATCCCAAGCTGCATCCCCAAAAAGTTTATTATGTTGTCACATCATTTCAGAGGTGATGTTTCAGTTGTGCGCTTGATACGCCATTAAAACAGTAAAAACACGTTCAGTTTCCTTTTGCTTTTTGTGTCTCCTGTTCACCAAAACATACCCATCTGTGATGGAAAAAGAAAGTAATCTAAAAGTAATCTGATTACGTTAATTTTTTAAGACACGTAACTGTATTCAGATTACTTTCAGAGCCATGTAATCAGTAATTAGTAACTGATTACATTTACAAAATAACCCTCCCAACCCTGTATATATATATATAAAATAACAATTTCATTTTATGGATTGAACTTTTGCCCCGCTGGACTTGTCTGTGGTTTAGCCGTTACTGTGACATCAGTATCAGCCATGGCAAGGTTATTTTATTTTATGTTGTTTTTTTTCTGCACAGTGAAGAGTCTTGTTGTGATGAGAGGGATGGAGGCAGGGGTGCACATAACTGTTTTGCCCTGGTTCTCAAAGGAGCACCTGGAGATGTTGCTTGGTGCTCATCCTTAAAATGAAATAAACCGTAACTTTTGAGGGGGTCTTGACTTTATTTGCCAGACACACGGCACTGAACACACATGCAGAGGTGAACACTGAACACACATGCAGAGGTGAACACAAGACAACATTAGCACGACCAGTAATCCTACAAGCTGTCATCACTACCCTCCTGACTGTTCTCCTCACTGTCTTCCTCTCTGTCAGACATGGTAGCTGATGATGTAGGCCTACTTCTTTCTCTCTGGTTGAGTCTGTGATTAGCTGCTTGCATCCACAAGTCAACAGTTGGTTTTGGGTCGAAAGTGGATGTAATCAAATAAGTATGTGAACATAACCAATAACCTACCATAGCCAATAACAAATGAATGTAACTTATTTTATTTGTGTTGTTCATTCATATCTTATTTTACCTTAACATTTATTTATTTATGCATTTTTTTTATCTCTCCAGTTTTAAAGGATATTTTTGGTTACTGTCCTATAGTATACATTGGAATGATTTGAAACCTGTTTATCCCAATAATTATAAAGGAGTGCCTTGGAAATATGTGTTTACATAACTTGTGACCAAACCGTTTGAACTTAGACTAAGAGTCCTTACCTCACTGAGCTGTAGTATCAGCCTCTCAGTCTGACTGGAGAGGACTCTCCCTCCATATTATTGTAGAAACATCTTCTTCTTATATCCGTTAGAGCAGCTAGCACGGCACCAGATTCTAATAACAACAGCGCTGGTACCGGTGCACCCTCCCTCTCTCCCTCGCATTTTGTCTGTGAGCTGCGGGCGCCAGATAAGCCAACATCCCCCATGTTCATCACTTACAGCGCCCATCGTACAGGACAAATGAAACGTGTAATCGGGGTGAAAAGGGTGTTACATTTACTTAATTATGAATATTGTTACATCAAGGCCGAAAATTAGGATGAGCCCCAACGGTCAAAAATGTTTTTCGCTTTGTTTCAAATAACCCGGTGCTCTTTTTTTGGCGGAGCTGCGCACCAGTTATGTGCAGCCCTGGATGGAGGTATTTAATACAAACCTTGCTCGCTGGAGAATAGCTACAGCAGTAGCCTACTGTCACAAGTAAATTAATCGGAGAGGATCACAGCTGGCCACGGATCTCGATGCTGCATTCGGGCTGTGAATAAACAGCTTGTATCTTACTTTTAGGCTGTCTGGAGGTATGGACAGCTATCAAAGTAAACATCACATTAACAACGATGTACAAATGAAAGTCGGAGACAAATACATATTTGAAATAATTTATTCACGTTTGCAATGTTTTGAACAGACATCCGCAGTCACCTCATTGTCATTTTGTAGTCCTCGTTGTACGCGTCCGGATATCGGCAACGCAACCACAACCTCACACACTGGTACTGAATGTGCATCAAAGTGTTCCTATGGAGCCAAATATACCAAAATATAAATGTAAACAACAGAAGAAGCGATCGAAATGTGTATTTCCTGGTTAATCGACAATGGCTCCTCAAAGTACACGTCCCATTCCTACCGTTATAGAACGTCACGAGTTCCCCGGTGTAACCCGTTAAACGGCAACACCGGCACCGCCCTTAATTGTTTTAAACTGCATCATGTAAATTGCGCTGACAGGCGACAGAGGTCCACAGTTGCCCCGGAGACCGCTCCGTTTAGCTCCAACCGCTGGAGAAGCTGCAGTAGCCTACATATGCAGGCGCTGTAACTTCCTCCACAAAAGCAGCGAAGAAGCATGGTTGTCATGGTTGCCCTTCTGTTTATTCTCCGCGGTGGGGGCCGAGGGAACCGGGCAGAGTTTTTTGCCAGTCAACGTGTATTAAAGTTGAAATCTTCCGACAAAATTATAAAAGTGCCGGTCAAAGGTGTTCTTTGTTATTTATTGAGCTTTAAAACAAATTAATAATGACTCTATATAATATAATAATACAAATACACGGAGCCTCTCTTTTTCCACCCTCTCTTCGGACAGCGCCAGTGTCTGTTTCATGCTTTCTGAATTCAGTGTGCAGTTTACTTTGACGCGGGGGTGAGCAGCAGAGGTGGGGGGAGGCGGGGGATCAGAAAATGATCGTATAGGGCGCACACACGGAGCTGTTTGACCCCCCAGAGCGTTGCGTATGCCGTTCTATCCACCTTGGGACCCGTTATCGTTTCCTCAGTCGTTTTTGTCCTCGTGTGGCTGCAGCCTAAGAAAGAAAAAGACAAGGCACAGTGTAATGCCTGTCAATAGCTTGCCACAGGCATAGCTCAGTTAAAATAAAGCACAGCTATTGTGCAATACATTTGTATTGCATGTATATTTTTTTATTTGTAAAAATGTTAGTTAAAGCTTAAAAGAATAAAGATCTTTTTGTTATTTAAACGTTTGACCTCTTTCTTTTACAATTTTGGAATCAAAACGGGGAATCGATAAGAACCGGAATCGATAAGCAGAATTGGAATCGATACATTTTAAACTATACCCATCCCTAGTCAAGGGGCATGACCAATATAGAAAGAAGAGCAACATTTATTTGAACATTTAAGTCAATGATACCATTCCTAGGTGAACTTAACATCTGTATGGAGTCAGATCAGTCTCAATATTAATACATGCTCACAGAAGGATTCACAAATGTATTTTGCGATTTATATATAAATGACTCTCCACAACAATATCTCTCAATGCACTCACAAATATTTATTGTTGTATATAAATGTACAAACAATGGGCATTTAAACTGCTTTTTATTAATTCAAAGACGGCTCTGAATTAATAATCAAATATGTTTCCTTTCTTTACGAAATTACAAAATGTACCCATCATTTTCCTCATGCTAGTATTGCCACATAAAAGTATCAAACCACCTGTTAAAATGCACCAGAATACAGGAAATCTATAATTTTTTCGTGGTGGGGGACCCCCACACCCCCCTTAAAAATATCCCCCCCACATTCAGGATAATTCCTACGCCCATGTAGAACAGATATTAAATGTGCGATTAATTTGCGATTAATCGCGATTAAATATTTTAATCGACTGACAGCCCTAGTTTTTACATTTTACATATTTATTTATTTTGTCTTATTAATCGTATATGGAGCACAACACATAAGAAAATAGACAACCTATTACTATTATATCATGTTTTTTATTAAAAAGGGAATCATAACAATGTGAAATTATTTAGAGTTTCAAAGTATTTTCCACAAATTGAATACGTTGTGATATAATTGAACCCCGGTAAAAGCAATTGTACATGTTCAAAGGTGTAGAGATACAAATAAAGACAAAGCACTTATATACTAATAAAGGACTGGCTTATCTAAAGCCAGTTGAGTAGCACTTGAAATGTTTGGCTCTATGAAACCTGTACTTTATGATTCTGTTTTCTTCAAGGTTGTGTCTTCCTGGTCGAATGTACTTATTGTAAGTCGCTTTGGATAAAAGCGTCAGCTAAATGCAATGTAATGTAAAGAGAATAGTATAAGACGTTGCATGCTTTCAAGTCATGTGACTTTTTGTATCTGTGTAACACAGATGACCCAAAATGCAGCCAAGTACAAAGCTATTACTGATTTGATAATGAGAGCTAATTAAAACTCTGATACCTTTAACCCTGATTCTGACTCACTCATTTATTTTTTCTTCAATTTTTTTTTCCGTTTTTGGGTAACTTGCACCTTGATGACAGGTTCGTAAGCATCTGACATTGTTGCCATGATGGTTATGTGATCCCCCTCATAAGTGAGACAGGAGCCATCCGGTATTTGTCTCCTAAACGTGGTTTGGTTGTCATTGTACATCTGATTATAAAGACCAACATCACACTGTTTGCTCTTATCAAAAACTCCCAAGGCGTACCAGTTTTTGAACGAGACAAAATCATAGGGCACAGAAAACATGACAGCTATTTTCTCAGCTGCCGGTTTTTTATCCTTCTTCAGGAGATCGTAGGTAAAGACGCCAACAGATCCTCGAGCTGTGTTTGGAGTCTTGGTGAACAGTGCAATCCCAGAGGCTTGAGGGGCAACAGTCGGTGGAAAAGGTGTAGCGCAGAATCCACTTGAAAGGTATATCCTGTTCATGGGGGTGGGGCAGAAAAACGTTGATTATCAGAGAATATTTAACCCTTATGTTGTGTTCGGGTTTCTCCCGTGACCCGTTTCAAGTTAAAATGATATAATAACTACGCTCTAGTTTTTTTTATCGGAACAAGGCTTCAGCTATATAAACACTACAAACCAAATATTGCCAATTTTTGCCAAGTCTGAAGGTCTCTAAAAAAGAAGTGTATAATTTGGTGTTCGGGTCTGGGGAGACCCAGCAGAATTGTTTTGGGTGACTCGAGGTCAAATTTGGCCCAATCAAGATTCATCTTTGACTTTAGACACCCCTCCCCCCCCTTCATCCACTGTAACAATAATTGTTCGCAACATGCACCTGGTCTCCCCTCCCTCTGCCCCCCTCCCCCCACGGGAACTCCACCTTCCTCAAAGAATATGTACACTAACGGCCCGTCCACACTACAGCTTCATAAAAAGCTTGGAGCTGGGCGTGTCTGAAGCTCGACCAACAACCAATCACATGAATCTCCCGCCCCTGACACACAAGCAGCGGTTTGATTGGCTAGAGCTTGTACTGGCATATGATTTGATTGGCTGACGCTTCCACCGAAAGCTTCAGAAGCTTCAAAAGTTGAACATTGCTCAACTTTTGCAGCCTGAAACGCCAGGAAAGCTCCGCTCTGCTTCCCACAATGCAGTTCGGCGAAAAGTGACGTCACCCCATTCAAAGTGAATGGGCAGACGCGTTGGAAACCATTTTTGAAGCTGTCGAAGCTGTGTGGACGGGCCGTTACGGCCCGTCCACACAGCGGCGTGCGTTGATAGCTTCACCATTCACTTTGAATGGGGTGACGTCTCTTTTCGCCGAACTGCATTGTGGGAAGCGAAGCGGAGCTTTGCTGGCGTGGCTCGCTGCAAAAGTTGAGCAATGTTCAACTTTTGAAGCCTCGGCAGAAGCGTCAGCCAATCGAATCATATGCCAGTACAAGCTCTAGCCAATCAAACCGCTGCTTGTGTGTCAGGGGCGGGAGATTCATGTGATTGGTTGTTGGTCGAGTTTCAGACACGCCCACCGGCAAGCTTCAACGCACACCGCTGTGTGGACGGGCCGTAACCCTTCAACCTGAACTCACACATGCACGTGTGCAATATGTGGTGTAATGTGTTTTAGGGCCATAGCATTAAATGACAACAGGATCGTACGGTTATGAATGCATAATAAGTTAGTTATGATGTAGTTAAAACAATATTGGATGATAGTCATTTTTTGTGTGTGTTTTGGACTGAGATAAATCATGGGTCAAAATTGACCCGCGAACACCATGAACGGTAACCGCTTTCTAACACAACACAAGGGTTAAGGAGAACTTATTTACTTGATGAAAGATTTCAGACACCTTGGGTTGACAAATGTGTAGGTAGCACATTCATTATCAATCTCAATGCAGCACTCTCGGTGTGTTGGTATTAGGTCAGAAATGGTTGCTGCAATTCCGATCGCTGCACCAGCAGTCTCGACTGCCGCCGCCATGGCTGTGCAAGACCTGTTCAGACACACAGAGCACAACACAGTCACATTCTGATTTCATTTTCATTTCATTTGACAGGCAGTACCCTGCAAAAGCTGACCACTTCAAAATATCCCTTTAAAAGATGTGTTGTTAAACATCTCTTGATCCATACCCTTAAAATGAGAGACTATTGTTACGTTAGACTCTGCACAGCTCTCCCGTACACCATCAGCCAGATTAAGAGATGGATGTTATATTAAAACCTTTCCAGGGCCAGGAACAGATTTCATTTGAATTACACAAACGGTGAAAAAACATAGCATCATAGCAAACGGTGTATGTTGTGTTTCGTGTGTCATCTCTGAAATAGCTTGAATCCACCTTGGCCATGACTTTGACACATGCTTTGCCTGGATGTATAAATGCTTTGGTGCTTAGGCATGTCAATGGACAGCATGGAGTGAAGTGCCACATCACATACTTGTTTGTGGGTGGAAATATCGAAATAGCAAAAAACAACTATTCATGCCCATGTGCAACTATACAGAGTGTTTTCAATACAAAACATATGAGTTATGTATTATATTGACATTAACACAAACAAGTGCCCTCACTCTTACCGATACACCGAGGGTGACATGACTCCAAGCACCAAGCAGCATGAAGTAAACCAGAGGGTAATGTAAAATATATATATGACCTGAAGTAATACATTACATTGAACATTTTACATATATGTGTATTTTTGTATTATGAGTTAATAAGTAGGTGCGTTTTAAAATGCTAGATTTTAGAGTGTTAGGAACGTGACACATGCTTGAACTCAAAAGCACGACTTCGGACAAGATTACAAAATCAAAAAAGTATTTACATCAAGAACAAACAAAGTACAACAACAATCAGTCTAGGAGGCAATACGTAGTAAAAGCAAACTACAAAAACATAGAACTAAGTCAACTTGGCTGAGGCAAAATGCTACATACGGTTGGTTCTTGGCTTGGAACGCTGCTTCTTGCCGACACGAGAGAGACGAGGCCTATCTGCAAGAGTTAAGGGGACATAGGTGGCAACTATCAACAAGGGAAAGGTACGTTCAAAATAAAACAGGAGGTGCAATGACAGACAGTGCAAGACGAGACTTGAGTGACTGTAATTTAACAAGTGAACAATGAGACATGTTGACTAAACATAAACCTAAATCTAAACATGGACTATAAACTAAAAATGAATCCTATAATATAAACCTGATAAATAAATCAACAAACATGACAGGATGTTCCACAGAGTCCTGCTCCTGCCAGAGGAGAGTGTTCTTACCTGGTCTGGTGGGTGATCAGCAGCTGTGTGCAGGAGGCAGACTGCTGCTGCTTTATAAAGAACATGGAGACGGCTGACTGCTTCTGGTGGGTGGGCCTACGGAGAAGTGAAGTGGTTTTCAGAAAGCAACGCCTGCTGCTGGGTCTATAGGAAGCCTATGTCCTTTATGCTGGGGACAACAAGTATATTTAGTATATTTATATATTTATTATTATTATTATTTATATTTATTATTATTGTATATTCTGAAAAATAGCATGAATGAAATAAATAGTTCTTATTTTAATATTTACAATCTCGAGAACAGTTTGTCCGTTCACACTTGGTGGGTGTATTTCTGGGAAGTCCATTTGGACATTCAACATATTTAATATTAGTAAGCTTTGAATCAAAAATAGTTAAGCAAACAACACCCCCCGTGTTGCAGCAGCAGGGCCGAGGCACTGCATTAGTCAATACAACGTACGTAAGCTAAACAGAACTCCCTCTGGCCCATTGCTTCTGATTCTAGAATAAGAAAAAAGGAACGCAAATACAAAGAAGTTAATACAGTATTTTACAGGTTTCAAAAAAGTACACTAAACAGGTAAATACACTATTTAAAACATATATAAACATGGATAAATAGAAGATTGAATATGTAGATAAATGTAAAAATACAAAGATAAATAAATAAAATAATGAATTCATTAGTGAAATATTTCAAAATATAAAGACAAAGAACAGAACGCAAAATGATAATTTTGAGCATTTTATTTTGTATGTATTTATTCAGTTTTTTTCTCTGTATCTATATCATCACATTACTATGTTTTAGCTTAACTTAACTGTGATATGTTCTTTCTACATTTCAAACCCCGCTCACTGTAATATCTGTTAAAAAATCCACATTACAAAATTGTGAATTTATAGCCCTTTTTACACATGAACTCATGTGTAACTAAATCCTGTAGGGAAGAACACTTTTCAGGGTTCAGGTAAGCATTGGTAATAGGAACATTAAAAACATTATTTACAAATGTACATCCATTATTTTTCCACTGTAAAGACTCCAGTGAAAATAAGTGTTTCTCTCCATCTTTCAGGCCTAAAAGAAACAGAATCTTCAGATTTTAGTTTGAGCCTCACATTTGCAAACCGCCACCTCCTGTGGGAGTAAATAGCATCAAGTAGATTAGAAACAGGTCACATGTGCGGTTTATCCAATTTTGTGGAATTTTAGGAAACCTCTCGTTCCCCACAGAGCCCCAGAATAATGTGTTAGTCCAAGAACATGTAAAGTGGCCAAACATCGCACCCCCGGTATCGGGGGTGCGGTATAGAAGAGGTTAATACTCCATTCCAACCTTTAAATGTTTCACACCTTTCATACATTAGGAGTTGTATACAGCTTTAAGTGTGATATTAACGGACAGATAGAGACTAAGGTTCAGATTGAACTGGAAAAACGTATTTGTAAAGGCAGTGTTTTTATTACATGTGTGCCTCAATTTTGTATTACATCATGCACTGAAACCGCCTCCCAAAGGGTCACCATTGGATCTGGATGATGTTCAAATCTTTAGGTAAAATTAGTGGTTATCAAACGGGTACAATAACAAAGCAATCAATACTTCCCTGTTTAACAAAGGATGTATTACTCATCGCCCTTACAATCTAACCATTAACTTATATTGACAAATGTGAAAGCTGGATGGCAGCCAACTTTCTACAAGGTCAATTTCATCTAAAAGCAATGCAAAAGTCAAAGTCAGGTTGTGTTCTGCAAATGTAAGAAGTGTTGGATCTGTAGGTGGGTGTGCAGTCGGGGTCAGCAGGGTGAAGAGCAGTGATCAGCTCATTTTAACGTGCACAACATTGTGATCTGAATAATCAAAGCTCTAAGTGGTCATCAGGAATACAGACCCTCTCATTCACACAACAGGTGATTAACTGTAAGCCCAGCTAGCGGGGAAAGTTCTCACAACTTTGGCTAACATGACCTACAGGTTATAATAATGTTTTAAAGAAACGTTTTAATCTGATGTTCAAAGAACCTTTTTGGGATGTATTTTTTCAAATAATGTTCCTATGAGGTTTAACTAAGACATAACGTTTTAACTGCAACATTCAGAGGATGTTTTGAGGATGTTATTAAGGCCTGAGATGACAGAAAGTTGTTCCTTTAATGTGATATGTTGTGGAAGGTTCTGCCTCCAACATTCTAAGGATGTGTTTTGGACGTTGTTGGGGTAACACATTAAATATATTCTTTATAAAACGTTCCCTCAATGTTACATGATAACAAATGAAGAACATTCTCCAAGAAACATTCTGTTTTCAGGAGGTTATTCTTTTTTTATAAAACGTTCCTGTGATGGCAAATATTAGCACGGTCATGGTCAACGTCAGATTTATTTCTATAGCGCTTTAAAAAACAAACTTGTTGCATTTGTTTGAAAGGATGTTTTAAAAAATCTGATGTCACCATATTTTCCTTTTGAGAAAAACAAACAAGCACGTAATTCATGATAAACTGTAAGCTGATATGTTTGCGGTGGCATGTGTGAGTTCCCAGCTGGAAATGTTTGTTACCATTCGTTGTTCTAGGAATGTTTTCAGCGGGACGTTTTAGTTTGGCTCCCAGAATGTTCTTCTGAAAGGTAGGATGACGTTCTCTAAAAACATTCTTAACATTTTTGATGATAACTTTCTTAAGATGTATGAACGCATTGAGAAAATGAATAACCCTTTAGATTTGAGACCGACAGACAGTGGCGGCTGGTGGAAAATATGTTTGGTGGGGCTGTTGATATAGTGAGTAAAACATTAATTTTTTGGGAGAAATGACCCCTTAAATTAGGACTTCTGGTGATGTAATGGCGCGTTTCCAGTGCAGCGCGGAGCTCGCTTTAATGCTGCGTTCAGACCGGACGCGATGCGAATATTCGCTTCGCTCTAAACGCTCCTATCGCATTGCTCTAGTCGCTCGAGTTTCACCGCGGCTGCCAGCTGTGTTTACTCGCATCATTCAAACAAGACGCGCTGGCTCGGGAGCTACAACGACAACAAGATGAACATATTTTACCGTGATTTAATTGTAATACACGTTTCTAAATGATGCCGACGTAACAACATACTGATACCGGTTAGTAAAAACCATGAATTAATGCTTTGACAAGTCTGCAGACAGACGGCAGGCGAAAAACCTTTTAGAATGCTTGTTTTCTGAATGGAGATTGGGTCAACCAGGCTAAGCTAACGTTGTATATGCTCACTCCACACTCATAACAACGGCCTACAGACATAAATAAACCAGCGACTGTATTCGCCATGACATAGACAGTGCCGAGCCGTGCGGGGCCCGTTTTTGGTTGTGTTTCCACTTGGCCTAGTACCGGCTAGCGGGTCCTAATTCACAGTTTTTCTGGCCCCATAAAATCGTGGTTCTAGGGCCAGGAACAACCAGGCTGAGTTGGGCTGAGTATGCTAAACTAGAGAGAGAACCGCTGGCAAGGGAGCTACAACTACAACAAGATGAACATATTTGACCGTGATTAAATTGTAATACACGTTTCAAAATTATGCCGAAGTAACAACATACTGATACCGGTTAGTAAAAAACGTGAATTAACGCTTTGACAAGTCTGCAGACAGACGGCAGGCGAAAAACCCTTTTAAAATGCGTGTTTTCTAAATGGAGCTTGGCTAAGCTAACGTTATATATGCTCCGACCGTCCACACTCACAACAACGGCCTATACAGACATAAATAAACCAGCGACTGTATTCTCCATGACACAGACAGTCTGTGGTTTGTACTTGTTTAACTTTTGTCTAGTTTCTGACCAGATCGTATCTGTCCCCGGCTGTTTGAAGAGCAAGCATGGGAAACATCATTTACCTGTTTGCATCCAGCTAGCCATGCCTTTCTGGTGTACCAGCTACGTGAGAAGCCTCGTTGATACGTTTTGTCTTTTTCACAAGCTTGCTGCGATATATACAAATCGGGTTGGTCCGGTCCAAGGTCTTTAAGCAACAGTTTATCTCCCAAACTTCTCCTTTCGAAAGGATTGGAGAGAAGCTCTTGCACGGAATTGGGTGCGGACCGTGGTCCGGTGACTCCACCTGCACACGAAGCCATTCTCATCCAACTACTGCATCACCTTGGTCACTCACGAGTCTAAAAAACAACTCACGTCAACACACGTAAGCAACGTGGGCGCCAACGTGGGCGCCAACGTGAGCGCCCTCGTGACCAAAATATTTGATGGCGCTGATTGGCTGAAATTATGTTTCGGCGGCACAGTTTACTATTGAGACTTTTGCAACGTGCTGGTTGCTGCTGTTTGTCTCGGGGGCTCCGCCCGGTAATGATAAACTAATGCCACGGGCAAGGCCAGGCAGGAAACATGTGACTTATCAGTAACTTTAGATTATACATTTTACTGATACCAATTGTATGATATTTACCTTGTTCATTAAAAATAAAAATATAAAATATATATATTTTTTAAATATATATTTTTTAATTTTATATATTTTTTTGTATGTGGGAAGAGGTGGGGCGGCGCCCCTAGCGCCCCTATGGGCCGGCCGCCACTGCCGACAGACATATAGAAGAACGGACCGACTATCACTGCCCTTCCCTGAAACCCCTGTTAGTGTTTGTTTCTACTGTATGTCTCTCTCTCTGCCTGCTGGTCTGCTCTACACGCTGGGAGCAATCTCCAATCAACCACACCTGCAACCTGCTCATCAGCCACACTATGAAAGCCTGCAGCCTGCACTCATTCCCTGCCGGATTGTTGCCGTGAACGGTTTGTTGCGTGCCACTATAGCTTTTTACCAGCATATTCTTTGACAACTTTGCCTGCTTTTGCCTCACACTCATTTGTAAGGTTGTGGTCGGATAGTTTAAAAATCAGCTCCTAAGTTCTAACCCTATCTCCTATTCCTTGACCTCTGAATGAAACGTCACGGGGTTAAGGGATAGTGGATAGGAGAATTCAAAAGGACTTAGGAGAAGAGACTGCGTTGCGTTAGAGAATCCGAATGCACTTTCACTATCCGACGTGTTTATGATGCGCCAGCGAACGTCATTGTGTGCGTCTGCTGCTGTGGGGAAACTATGGAAACTACAGTTCTCTATACAGCGGACTACAACATGGATGTTCAATAAGAACGAGGGACTCATCTAGAGACTCCGTGCTCTGATGCTGTTGTTTTATGCTTTATGAATGTGGACAACAGAGAAACATATTCTTCAGGACCAAAGTTGGAATTGAAATAAAAAAGGAAAGTGAAACTTATGCTCGTCACCCTCTCCCTCCGGTCCACATTAATACAAATGATCTCAATACGTATGATTGTATGAACTATTAAAAGATCTTAAAATCAATACAAATGTATTTATTATAAACGTTAGTCCTTAACATCTATCACTGTGTATATCACCATTCAAACATCTTTTAAAAGTTGAACAAACCCCACACAGCTCAGTAAACACTGTGAAATGTTGACTTTATTTGATAATTTCAGTAAAAACTGTTCATATTTCTCTTTTTGATTATAATACTGATGAACGTTCAAAACAAAGCACTTTGGCAACTTACCACATACGTTTTAAAATGCTTAATAAGCACCGTAACTTTCATGGTATCATTTCTCGGTCATAATCGTTTGTGTCCGTGAACGGCCGACTGTTGTGTGACGTCAAATGCTGCGTCTGCAATGCATTGTGGGGCAGCATTTTCTCCTCTCCTTTCGGTTAGGGAGGTCCAGTGGTTCCTAAGCTAAAGGAGGTTATAAAGGAAGTTTGAAACCTCCTTTCCTTTCATCTAGAGAATTCGAACAGCACTTATCATGGCTGCCACTGAGGGACTTCCGGGTCATTTCACTCCGTTAGGAAGGTTCCTAAGATAAATGGACTATTCGACTGCAGCCTCAGTCTCTCCCAGGAGGAATCCAAGGCCTTCCACACTCCCAAGACCAGCCAGGCCTCTCCACCCTGGAACAACTGTTTCCCACTGCCGCCATAACCAACCTCCACTCCCAGCTCCCCTTTTCTAAAAAACAAATGTTACTTTCACCAGCTGATTCCGAGTCTGATTCTGGGTCCCCTCCAGTACAATAATAAAAGACTTCTGATAAATCGGAACAATAAAGCACGTTATCCTTCTCTAAAATAATAACATTCTGGCAACATAAACAAATCTAACTTGCAGCTGAAACCGTTTTAAGAATAGTAGGGCATAATGTTATAACAATTTTATCAAAAACATTTAAAAAAGGTTATTACCAAGCATTTCAAGAATGTCTTTAGAGAACGTTATCCTACCTTTCAGAAGAACATTCTGGGAACCAAAAGAAAACTTCTCGCTGAAAACATTCCTAGAACAGTGAATGGTAACATTCTCAGAATATTTTTAAGAACCAAAAATGTCTAGCTGGGAGGGCTGTCTATTAGTGACCCAGCACAACTAACCCATATGGATCACACAATAATAAACTATACAATGACAAACGCTGCCCAACACCAAAATAAACCACCACAACAAAATGCACCCCTCTGTGAGTTGATTCATGGCTCGTTCAGGACCATTTAGTAGTGAGGGTTAAATCAGTTTTAGGGTTAATACATGTTAGATGTTTTCTGGGCTCTATATGTTTCTGGACAGTACATTAACTCTTTAATTTAAGATTGGTAAAATATATTGTATATTATATTGTAAATTATTTCTGTTTAAGGTCTGGGCCCTTATTGTCCTCTGAAAACTGCAACTATTCGAGTCTGATCATAATGAACAAGACTCAATATCAATATCTGCTAATTCACAGCAACAAAGGTCTGACCCATTCCAGCAACAGAAACTATTCCTTAACCCAATATAAAATCACATTGCTGGTGCCAGTAAATCAGTAAAAGTTTATTTACCAGAAAAGCAGCTATCTGTATGACTCATGACTTATAACAATCCAATACACTATGAAAAAATAACTAAAAAAGGTTATCAGCATGTGAAGGGATGGTCAGGAGCTCCGTATTGTAAGAGCAACTGTGATGTGTTTGTCTTCAAAGAGAAAATACAGTTGGCTATTCATTAGATGATTGGACAACTGACAGTTATACGGAACAACGGTTCTGCTATCTAACTCGATCGGCATGTGGGGGATGCATCACACGGAAACGTTGGTTATTTTTTATCTTCCCCAAGGACACATCAACATGATGACTGCAGGTGTTGGGATCCAACCCACAATAATTAACTGCAAGAGAACGGGGGGTTACGTAGTGTAACCCTAGGTATATAAGCACAGGCGGAGCCCTCTACTGGACTCTATGGGTACTACTCTCATCAATGATACGCAAGCGTTCACACACTGAAGTTGTATAAACGTAGCCGGCCACTCAGGGCGAGCCTACCTGAATGTGCGTGCATATTAAGCAGCTACACCTGCTGATTGTCATCCTTCACCCTCTTCAGCGAGCGGCATAGGAAAGCCAGGGCCCCTAGGTATAGGGCTCCACCTGTGCTTATATAGCTAGTGGTTAACAGCCACCGCACCCCAACTTCCCATCATCCGGTTGTGACCGTGGAGAAGTCGGGCCGCAGCTTACTTGGCTGGGTAGAGCCTAACTGGTCGGAATAAGCCCATAGCTCCACCCTGCAGGTGCCAGCCCAAGTGACTATACACTGCGCACTACGTTTCCCAGGTCCCTAAGGAGCATGGGGAGAACGTAAGTGCACCATGTCCCCCACACTCACACACGCTTACCTTGTGTAGAGTGTGCATGGTCCATAGTGGGGAAGGCTCTCCCCGCCTGCCCTCCAGCCCTGTATGGGGCTTACTGCGCACCATGTTTCCCAGGTCCCTAAGGAGCATGGGAAAACATAAGTGCATTATGTCCAGCGGGGGTCAGATATAGCTTACTGACCGACAGCCCAAGCCTGGAGAGGATGGCCCAGAGTGGGTAACGCCCCTATTGCACCTGCTTCCTGAGACAACGCCCCCCAGACCTGAGGAACCGTCCAGGGCTGGCCCACCATCCTCTGTGTCACTTCTGCATACAACGGCGCCGAGCAGCGACCTGGGGCTACCAGGATGACTGACAATCGTTCTCGTTTCACCCTCTCCAGGAGGGGGAGTATGAGACGCAGCGGTGGAAAGGCATAGAGCAGCTTTCTTGGCCATGGCTCGTGTGCAAACGCGTCCACCCCCAAGGGTGGATTGTCCTACCGAGCCAGGAAAATCCCCAGATACTCCACCTGCTGGTGCCTGATAGAGTCCAGTAGAGGACTCCACCTGCTGGTGAGGTATGGGATTGCTCTTCTTCCAATTGACTGCAAAACCCAACTTGGTTAGGTGTAGGATCAATTGGGCTGTGTGGAACATTGCCTATTCCCTGGACCTGGCCATGACTATGAGGTCGTCCAGATAAAAGAAAACTCTCATGTCATGGTCGCTAAGTGGCTGAAGCACTGTGGTCACACATTTGCTGAACATGTGTGGGGATAGGGAGTAGCCGAACGGTAGGATGTGTGCTGTTAAAAACGTTTTCCAACTTCCTCTCTAGACTTCCTGCTGTGTCATGTGTTATGCTGTGTTCGTTATTCTCGTGTCCAGGAGAGAGGCTTTAAAAAGGAGGCTAAATGGAGTCTCTGAGAAGGTTCAAATTATACAACAGTATATACAGTGGTTCTCAAACTTTTTCTGTCAGGCCCCCCCTTTGGAGAAAAAAAAAAGTCGGGCCCCCCCCAACACAAATAGTCAGTCTCAGTAGCGGCGCCAGAGATTTATTTTTGGGGGTGCTGTGGGGTAGCTTGACATTTCATAGAGGGTGCTCAAACATTTAGGGTTTCACATTAATGTACCGGGCGCTACAGTGGAATTTTCTACTGCAACATTCCCCACGCATACGTACCCGCAACTGTTACAATGAAGGCTCGATAATCAGCTCACGGCTGCATATAGGTGTAAGCAGGGGTAAAGTGCTATTTTTATAGGTGGTGTGTGGACCTCACATAGGGGGGTTCGGGGGCATGCTCCCCTTGGAAGATTTTTAAATATTGAAGTTAAAAGCATCAATCTGGTGCACTTTGAGAGCAACATGAAGAGATCTATGGATACATCTCCCAACACCCATTTGAAACAGAACTGTAAACAGATTTACTATTTCTTTATGGATATTTTACAAATCACTCCCCTTTTAAACTTTATTCTTTTTTTACTGCCATATAGTATTTCATACCTGCTTTTAATGTATTCTCTTATTTTTTTATAACTATAATGATCATATAAACGTGTGCCTTGGAAATAATTGTTTACATTAATGGTGACCAAAACGTTTGAGACCCACTGAGATAACACTGAGAGTCCTTTAGCTCACTGAGTCTCTCAGTCTGACAGGAGAGGACTCTCCTCCACTTTGTTGTTGAAAAGACTCCTTATATCCGTTAGCGTTGCTCGCTAGCACCAGAAGCTCACATCAACGATCTCCGGTACCGGTGCGCTCTCTCTCTCTCGCTCTCTCTCTCTCTCTCTCTCTCTCTCTCTCTCGCACGCACAAAAAATGGCTCGTTCCACACACAGAGCCGAGCTTTAATGAAACACAGAGAGCGTAATAACGTAATAGTACTGTATCATATTATTTTCAATCAATAATTTTTCTTTAAATAACCATTTTTCCTCTTGGTCTCTCGTGCCCCCCCTGTCATGCCTCTGCGCCCCCCTGGGGGGACGCGCCCCCCACTTTGAGAACCACTGGACTACAGTGAGATGGGCGTAGGAGTAGGAGTAGGAGTAGGTGTTCTCCCAGTGAGACTGCATGCTTCCCATCAAGGGAGTTGTCTCCTTCCTCTGCTCCGCCCATTATGAGCCTTGTATCAGCTGCACTGTAACTCGAGCTGAATTTCATGAATAATCCTCCAGTCTTTCCCGGACTGCGCCGGACATAGTAAGACATGAAATCCAGAAGACAGCCCTCTCTCTGCAGTCTCACGTGTTAAAAGGTAAGAACACATGTTTCTACTTTATGATTGAAATGTCTCTCACTGCTGCTTTGTGTTTGTCTCCTGTTTAACAAACTCTACAAACACACAGTCCAACAGACCCTGGATATCTCTGAGTTTTCTGGCTTCACTAACAACTTGGATCTCGGTGAATCAACCGAGAGTTTCTCAGCTCGGATACAGGAAATGGGCGGGGTTAGCAACATCTAACCAATCAGAAACAGGGACGAGCTAACTGACAGCTGCGCGTCATTCTAAATACAGAGTGTTTTCCTGTGGCCCAGATGTGGGAAGTACAATTTTGAGGTACTTGTATTTTATTTTCTGTGGAACATCCTGTCATGTTTGTTGATTTATTAATCAGGTTTATATTATAGGATTCATTTTTAGTTTATAGTCCATGTTTAGATTTAGGTTTATGTTTAGTCAACATGTCTCATTGTTCACTTGTTAAATTACAGTCACTCAAGTCTCGTCTTGCACTGTCTGTCATTGCACCTCCTGTTTTATTTTGAACGTACCTTTCCCTTGTTGATAGTTGCCACCTGTGTCCCCTTAACTCTTGCAGATAGGCCTCGTCTCTCTCGTGTCGGCAAGAAGCAGCGTTCCAAGCCAAGAACCAACCGTATGTAGCATTTTGCCTCAGCCAAGTTGACTTAGTTCTATGTTTTTGTAGTTTACGTATTGCCTCTTAGACTGATTGTTGTTGTACTTTGTTTGTTCTTGAAGTAAATACTTTTTTGATCTTGTAATCTTGTCCGAAGTCGTGCTTTTGAGTTCAAGCATGTGTCACGTTCCTAACACTCTAAAATCTAGCATTTTAAAACGCACCTATTTATTAACTCTTAATACAAAAATACACATATATGTAAAATGTTCAATGTAATGTATTACTTCAGGTCATATATATATTTTACATTACCCTCTGGTTTACTTCATGTTGCTTGGTGCTTGGAGTCATGTCACCCTCGGTGTATCGGTAAGAGTGAGGGCACTTGTTTGTGTTAATGTCAATATAATACATAACTCATATGTTTTGTATTGAAAAAACTCTGTATAGTTGCACATGGGCGTGAATAGTTGTTTTTTGCTATTTCGATATTTCCACCCACAAACAAGTATGTGATGTGGCACTTCACTCCATGCTGTCCATTGACATGCCTAAGCACCAAAGCATTTATACATCCAGGCAAAGCATGTGTCAAAGTCATGGCCAAGGTGGATTCAAGCTATTTCAGAGATGATACACGAAACACAACATACACCGTTTACTATGATGCTATGTTTTTTCACCGTTTGTGTAATTCAAATGAAATCTGTTCCTGGCTCTGGAAAGGTTTTAATATAACATCCATCTCTTAATCTGGCTGATGGTGTACGGGAGAGCTGTGCAGAGTCTAACGTAACAATAGTCTCTCATTTTAAGGGTATGGATCAAGAGATGTTTAACAACACATCTTTTAAAGGGATATTTTGAAGTGGTCAGCTTTTGCAGGGTACTGCCTGTCAAATGAAATGAAATGAGAATGTGACTGTGTTGTGCTCTGTGTGTCTGAACAGGTCTTGCACAGCCATCATGGAGGCGCCTGCGGCAGTCGAGGGTGCTGGTGCAGTGATCGAAGCTGCAGCAACCATTTCTGACCTAATGCCAACATACCGACAGTGCGGCATTGAGATTGAGAATGAATGTACTATCTACACATTTGACAACCCAAGGTGTCTGAAATCTTTCTTCAAGTAAATAAGTTCTCCTTAAATATTCTCTGATAATCAAAGTTGTTCTGCCCCCCCCCCCATGAACAGGATATACACTGATAGTGGATACTGTGATACACCTTTACCGCCGACTGTTGCCCCTGGAGCCTCTGGGAAAGCCCTGTTCATCAAGACTCCAGACACAGCTACAGGATGTGTCGGCGTCGTTACCTACGATCTTCTGAACAAGGATGAAAATCAGGCAGCTGGGAAAATAGCTGTCATGTTTTCTGTGCCCTATGATTTCGGCCTGTACAACAACTGGTACGCATTGGGAGTTTTTGATATGAGCACAAAGTGTGATTATGGTCTTTATCAAAAGATGTACTATGACAAACAAACCACGTTTAGCAGACAAACAGCGGATGGCTCCAGTCTCACTTATGAGGGGGGTAACATAACCATCAAGGGAACAATGTCAGATGCTTACCAATCTGTCATCAAGGTGCAAGTTAGCCAAAACTAGAATTGAGTGAGTCAGCAGTGGCTCTCAATAATGAATCATCAGGGTTAAAGGAATCAGAGTTTTCATTTGCTCTTGTTATCAAATCAGTAATTGCTTTGTACTCGGCTGCATTTTGGGTCGTCTGTGTTACACAGATACACAAAGTCACATGACTTGAAAGCCTGTAACGTCTTGTACTATTCTCTTTATTTGTATCTCTACACCTTTGAACACGTACAATTACTTTTACCGGGGTTCAATTATATCACAACTTATTAAGTCTGACATTTGTGGGAAAATGCTTTGAAAATCTAAATAATTTCACTTTGTTATGATTCCCTTGTTAATGAGAAATATGATAGAATAGTAATAGGTTGTCTATTTTCTTATCTGTTGTGCTCCATATATGATTAATAAAACTAAATAAATAAATATGTAAAATGTAAAAACTGAAGTGTTCTTTTTCTTCTGTCTGCTCCCTGTTAATACTTTAGTTCACAAAATGCTTGGAGTCCATTGGTCTGCACATGATGCACATGAACCACCTTTTAGACAAAGTTAGCTCAATCTTACAGACTGACACTTACAGTTCTCGTAGTGGCTCAATGCTCACTTGAACACCGCTCAGCCACTTCTAAATGTTACTCTGTGCTTTTCTTGCACACCAACACAAACCTACTGAGCATCCTTTCTCTGACTTATGACCAAATTATATTAAGTGTTTCACGGGCCATCATATAGCTTATTATGGCCCAGCGCCTAAGTGTTTTGGGGCCCTGTATCTGTATAAACAAAAACAATGGAAGCACAGGGGAAGACCTGGAAGTATAATCAATGTTTACCCCAAACTACAGGAAAACGCAGGTCTGCATGTTCTATTTGCCGATGGATGAGGAAGATTGCTGGAAGATCCAAGTATTTCTGTTCTCGAGAGTGAGGCTATTTTGGCTTCATGCAACTTTCAGAGGAATGCACAGCCCTACTTCCAATGCTGTATCAAAAATTATTTAAACACCTACATTACCCGCACATCTAAATAATTATATTTAGAACAAACTGTTTGTTTGGCTTACCGAGGAACATGTCACAAACCTAAAGTCATTTCTGTTTCCTGTCTTATTTTGAAATGTATTTTCTCCTGTCTTGTTCTACTTCCTGTATCTTTGTTTCCTGCTTGTGTTATTGTCAGATTATTTTCAATTTCTACACCCGTGTTTTGTTTGCATGCCCTCCCCAGTGTGTCTTGTGTCTGTGATAAGTCCTGTGTGTGTCCTTTGTTCTGTGTTGGTTCATCATCTTTGTTCCCGGGGGAGGTCGCCCGCTCAGCCACTGGCCCTTTCCAGGCCGTCCGTGTGAGGTCCCCCCTTCAGCCACTGGCCCTTTCCAGGCCGTCCGTGTCAGGTCCCCCCTTCAGTCACTGGCCCTTCCCAGGCCGTCCGTGTCAGGTCCCCCCTTCTGCCACTGGCCCTTTCCAGGCCGTCCGTGTCAGGTCCCCCCTTCAGCCACTGGCCCTTCCCAGGCCGTCCGTGTCAGGTCCCCCCTTCTGCCACTGGCCCTTCCCAGGCCGTCCGTGTCAGGTCCCCCCTTCAGCCACTGGCCCTTTCCAGGCCGTCCGTGTCAGGTCCCCCCTTCAGCCACTGGCCCTTTCCAGGCCGTCCGTGTCAGGTCCCCCCTTCTGCCACTAGACTACATTCTGATAATATGTGAAAAAAGTCTGATAAACATACATGTAAAAAGTCCATTATATGATAGCATGTAGCATGTAGCAAGTATTTGAATAAATCTGAAAATAACCCGGAAAGATTAATAAAACATTTTCCAAAAATATTAGATTAATATCTGATAATGTTTGATAAAAAGAGTCATAGAAATACATTTAAAAAGTCCCTTAAAAATATCCTAAAATATTTGAATAATTCAGAAAAATCCCCCAAAAGATATAAAAAAAATCCCCCAAAACCAGAGGTGAGTATATTTAAATAATATGGAATTGAAAGAAATTGAATAAAAGGAATCACCATCACACACACACACACACACACACACACACACACACACACACACACACACACACACACACACACACACACACACACACACACACACACACACACACACACACACACACACACACACACACACAGTATTTTAACTAACAATAAATGTTATCAGAATCAGAATCCCTTTATTCGTCCCAGAGGGTACAGTGTTACAGCAGAAAAGAGCCAGCTTAATATGTACATACATTAAACCCACAAGCTGAAGTCCTAACAAATGGACTTGTGTCGTCTTCCGTTAAACTCAAGCGAGGAACACGGCAGTCCCCTTTCTCCTCTCCTATTCACACCGGCCATTGAGCCACTAGCGATGGCAATCCGTCAACACGCCATTATAACGGGAATACATATAGGAGGTGTAGAACACAGAATAGCTTTGTACGCGGATGATGTTATTTTGTTCTGCTCTGAGTGTGAAAATCACACATGGAAGTAACCATCAACCTGTGGACTTAAGTTATCATCATCTGGTGTGGTGGAGTTTAGCCACCAGAGGGCGCCATGTCAATACTCTCTTATAGATCAAACACAGCACGTGTCTGCTCTGACAGTATATTTAGCTTTTTAATCTTTAATTACTTTAACACTGCAAATGTCCCTGCTGTGGGACCAACATTTATATTAATTAAAATATAATTAAAAAATAAATAGAACTGTATTTCTTTGTATTCATTGTTTACTTTTTAAATAAATATCAATATTAAATAAAATATTATTTATACAAATAAATCACTATTGTATTTATTTACTTTTATATTATTTATTTACTTTTATATTATTTATTTTTATTTTTATTGATTTACTTTTTATATTATTTTATTGATTGTATTAATTGTTTATTTCCTAATTCAAATAATATTATTTAAAATATATTTAATTATGTATTATTAATGTATTCGTCAGGGACAATAAACTATCATATCCTACCATGTTTTAACAATTTGCATCACCACATTGTATTGTCACACACACACACACACACACATACCATGTATACATCACTTCAGGGGACATTACATTGACTTACATGCATTTCCTGGAGACTTATCCTAACCTTAACCATAACCAACACATGCCTAATCCTTAACTTTAACCTTACCCTTACCCTAACCCTAACCAAGTCTTCACCCTAAAATTAATGATTCCCCTTATGGGGACCTCAAATTTGTCCCCATAAGGGAAGCCAGTCCCCACACATGACTATGTAAACAGATTGAGGTCCCCACAAGTATAGTAATGCTAGACCACACACACACACACAAACACACACACAAACACACACACACACACACACACACACACACACACACACACACACACACACACACTTACTCATAGCAAACGTAACATTAGTATTTGAACTCATAATGAATATTATCACCATCAACCTGTGGACTTTCTCAACGGCTGAAAGGGATGACTTTCTACCTTGCTCTTGAAAGGATACGTGTTTTCCTTCAAAACAAACTAGCTGGAAAACCTTTTCAGACTTCCTGGAGCATACTGTCTTAACATACAACATGACGGAGGATGAAGACACTTGAATATTATTTGGGCTGTGTTTCTATTTTCTATTCTTCTTTCTTTCTTTTTTCTGTCTTATTTATTAAGTGTCATGTATATGCATTAAAAATAATGCAGTACAAAAAGAAGAAACAAAAATAGGAACAAGAAAATAAACAAAAATAGAAACAAAAGAAGAATTGAAAAAATTACAAAAGCAATAATAAGAAAAAGAAACAAAAACAACAGCAAGAAAACAAAGCAGTGTCAGTCTAACGTTGATCCAGTTGTTTCTCCAGCTCTCTGGTTGAGCAGCAGCTGTGGAGAATACAGTTAGTGACATCATGTGGACATGGAGAAAACCTCTTTTCATACAATTATACAATCTTTGAATGACCTACATATTAATTTACCATTTCACATAGAGCTACCATCTGCATATTTAAAAAAAAGTGAAGTTATAATTTAAATACAGCACTTCTACTGAGGCTACTCACCAGTGACGTCGAGCCAGCATATGCTATAGTTACTCCCATCAGGTGTGCGTATGGCACACACATAAAACCCAGAGTCACTGGTCCTGAGTCTGGAGACATGAAGTGTGAGGCGTCCTTCTGGGAGGACGTCTTTGTCCCACTGGACTCGTCCTGCAAACTGTGGATCCTGAGACTCTGGGAGTTCATCACCTTTGTATCGATGAAACAGGACGTAGGGTCTGCTCTCAGTAGACATCTCACAGTAGATAGAAATGGAGCTGAAGTTAGTGTCTGTTCTGGTGTTGAAGGTCCACTCCAGGGTGATATCCTGGTTCTCCTCTGCCTGATAGGAAGTCTGAGTCACATTCACTACAAATGTTCCTGTGGAGGAGACACAGAGGGACTCTTTAAACTGCAGTTATGTTCCTGTGGAGGAGACACAGAGGGACTCTTTAAACTGCAGCTATGTTCCTGTGGAAGAGACACAGAGGGACTCTTTAAACTGCAGCTATGTTCCTGTGGAGGAGACACAGGGGACTTTTTAAACTGCAGCTATATTCCTGTAGAGGAGACACAGAGGGACTCTTTAAACTGCAGCTATGTTCCTGTGGAGGAGACACAGAGGGACTCTTTAAACTGTAGCTATGTTCCTGTGGAGGAGACACAGAGGAACTCTTTAAACTGTAGCTATGTTCCTGTGGAGGAGACACAGAGGGACTCTTTAAACTGCAGCTATGTTCCTGTGGAGGAGACACAGAGGGACTCTTTAAACTGCAGCTATGCTTTAAAGAGTCAAACTGAAGCTAACAGTGTGTTCTTATTTATAACAAAGTTGCCCCCAGGCATTTGGGAACGTGTATCAGAAAAAACAGTTTAGCTCTTTAAAAGTGTAATTATTGAGAATAAACATTGAACTTTTAAGAATAAATTACTGGTAACTGTAAGGGAATATTTCTGTCTTACTCCTAAGTGTCAAAGAATAATTCTTCTTTACTCCGAAGATATTTAACCTTATTCTGTGTGTTGACATTTACGACCATCCCTGCTTCTAATCTCCCGTAAGGAATGTGTTAATGCAGTCGTATGTTGATACTAGGTTTTATGGCCTGACCTGTTGGGCACAGGGGGGTTTTACGACTGTGAGAATGCTGGCTTTCTAAGCTCCACAGATGTGAGAGACATCTCCTGTTTCTGCAGATGTTTACGCCCATCCCCAATATGTGGATTTGACTCTCTGTAAACTAGTTAAAAGGTCTACCAAGATGCGAGGCTGATCAGAATTGACATGACAACCCACCCGTGCAGTCAGAACCTTTTGCTGCTGTGACTTGTGATATTAATTCTCCGGCCGTTGACTTGTAATAAACATCAGTGTTTGACATCAAAGCTCCAACTCTCCTCGTGTCTCTCTGAGTCCTGACTCTCCATTGCTGCAGAAGTTTCCCTTACAGTAACAAACTACTTTTGTTCGAGAATATACTGAAAGTTCCACTTCTTGACATTTTGATTTAAAAAAGCTAAATAAATCAGAATCCCCCTCCACAGTGTAGACCCTCTTTTCTTGCTCTAATAGTGTTCCACACCAAAGAGCTCTAAGATGCTTCTTTAGGAAAAGGTACAACGAGACACAAAAGGTTTTTCAATAATATTCAATGTGTCTAAGTGGGAAATAAAGGAGTACACTAACCAGAGACACAGGGGGTGAGGAAGAGGAGCAGCAGGATGAGGAAGATCATCTTCTCCCTGTGAGAGGACACACACACACACACACACACACACACACACACACACACACACACACACACACACAGTCTGTCTTTACCACATGACTTATTGCACAGAGGACTAGGGTTGGGAACCGAAACTCGGTTCCAGATGAGAACCGATAAGAAAATGCCGGGTACCGGGTACCCATACAAAATACACAATTTCGGTTCTGCTTAACGGTTCCTAAACGCGGTAGACCCTGTATTCCAGCGGGTCCGTCTGCACCGCGGTGCTGCGGTGACCCGGTGGAATACAGGGCGGACCTGGAGAATCACAGAACGGCCGGTCGTCAGCGGGCCGTTGACGGCCGGCTCGGTACGCTGACGGCCGGCACCGCCCTTCATTTTTTTAAAACGGCATCATATCAATTGCGCTGACAGGCGACAGAGGTCCACAGTTGCCCCGCAGCGATGCTCCCCCGCCCTCCCGTAGACATTTCACGAGCTCAGTCACTTCATAACACCAAAGATAGGTCGCGGTAAACACTCTGAAGTGAGGCTCCACTACACTAAAAAAGAAAAAGAAAAGGCAAAGTGTAATGCCTGTTAATAGCTTGCCACAGGCATAGCTCAGTTAAAATAAAGCACAGCTATTGTGCAATATATTTGTATTGCATGTATATTTTTTAGTAACAATTTCAGTTAAAGCTTTTAAGAATAAATATATTTTTGTTATCTAAACGTTTGACCTCTTTATTTTACAATTTTGGAATCGAAACGGGGAATCGATAAGAACCGGAATCGATAAGCAGAACCGGAATCGAAATCGGAATCGATAAATTTCAAACGATACCCATCCCTACAGAGGACTGACACCAGGAACAGTAACACATGTCTGACACTAGGTGGCGCCAGATATCAACATTATATTTAATTTGAACTGAATCAGGAAATACTTTTTGCTTTGAGACCAGGGGCCTCATTTATAACGCTGTGCGTAGGATTCACGTGGGTAGAAATCCAAAAAATAGGTAGGCTAGAGAAATGTTCCGACATTTTCCGATTCACCAAACATTGCGTACCGGCGAGGAAAGTGCGTACAGCACCTCCTACGCCGGTTTCCCTTTATAAATCACAATCGACTCGAAATGCGGTGCAGCTTTTGCGGGCTTCACGTAACGCCCATATTTGCCTATAAATAGTCAAAGAAACGCCCATTCATTCATTCATTCATTTTGACTGACTGCATGAAGAAGATAGCAGGAAATGACGACAGAACAGCTAAAAAAGACATCTCACACCGTGTCAGATTTTGGTTATTTTGGGGAGGTGGAGATAAATCATATTGTTTGGTGGATGCAGTTTGAACCAGAGGAGCAGCATGGAGGTCGGATCGTCACCAACATAAATAAATAAGTGGTCCGAAAAAGGTTCATGACAAAAACAATACACATAGCCTTCCTCAGGCAGTGTGTTTGCACCGGGGACAGGAGACCCCCCCTTGATGAGAGACTGTAAGAAGTGATCGGGGAATCCCTCCGGAGTGGAGTCATGACGACTGGATCTGAATTATGTTTTAGTATTTGGTGGTTTGTGTCCCAGCTGTCGATCAGCTGTGCGCAGCATCTCCACTGCAGCCTGTGCATCTCAACCCCCCCTGCCCCCCCCCGCAGCAACTCTATATCCTCCAGTTAAAGGAAATACAACTAATGTGTTGTGTTATATTAGCTGTACAATTGACCACATATGGTGTTCTTAGCTTCCATACCTCCTGTGTTTTACGAGCGACTTATCAAGTCTTAGCAAACGGCATAAAACATGATTAAACATGGTAGTATATAAAACCATGCTCAACCTATAGAAATGCAAAACCGCATCATTTATGAGAAAACATTTCATAACATTAACACAACATATTCGAGGTGGTTTTAAATAACATATCCGTATTTATTTATTTCTCCAAGTTATGTTTGTGTGCACTGAGGAGTCTCAAACAGGCGTGTGTTTAATCATTTTAAGATTGGCTTTAATCAATGTTTGAAAATGAATTCTTCATATATGATAAATGAGAGGTAACATTTTATTGATGGTATTATTTCCACATATTTCTCTCCATTCTTCCTTCTGCCAATGGTGTCGCAGTTTCTCGTCTCTCCCGTTGTTGTGCTTAGTGCGTACGCATGGGTTAGAGTTTGCGTGGAGGACCGCACATTTTCCCGTCAAGTTAGTATTTTATAAATCGCAAACATTGCGTAGAAACTGGCGTACGCCATCTTTTGAGCGTATATCCCTTTATAAATGAGGCCCCAGAGAAAACAGACTGAAATACTGGACCAACTGAATCCCTTCAGTTTAGTTTCAGAATCTCTCTGAATAATAACAATAATAATAACAATAATGATATTAATACTAGTGAATGTGTGCTTTCTGATGTTAAAGGGACAGCTTTTGCATTCATGCAGATTTCAAGAATATTGTTTTTAATATTGCTGTGTCTCAACGTGTTTTCTGAAGATAAAATCCAGCTTGAATAAAGCGGTTGAAACTCTGCCTCTATCAACAGTCAACCTTGTTCTCTCTGATCATGCAAAGTGGAGGGAAATGCAAATAGGCCAACTGTGAGAAAGCCTCTCCATTCATCTTCTCCCTGTGAGAGCACACACACACACACACACACACACACACACACACACACACACACACACACACACACACACACACACACACACACACACACACACACACACACACACACACACACACACACACACACACATATCTTTACCACACTGGAAACATGCCACGTTCCAGCATAATTCAAAACCTCCACACTGGATCTAGTGTTGATGTCATGTGTCCACCATATCCTCTTAAAATACTCTGTCCCACATTATCAGTATTGTGAAGAACATTTTGCTAACGCTTTTCTCACTCAAAAATGAAGAGCTGCTGGTGTGACCAATCAAACGCGGAAACGGCTGAGTTGACCGCAGTGCATACTTCACTTTGTTTAGGAACTGCAGCAAAACCAGATTAAACCGGAGGACATGGAAATAAATAAACCAAAAAAAGGGAAGCTAGTAATACGTTAGTCACAACATTAGGACAGTTTGTGTTTCTGGCAGAAAACAGATGTCGTCCTTTCTGCTGTTGTTACACGGTCGGAGTGTCTCGGCCTTCACGCATGGCTCTGAAATCTCTTTCCCTCACGAAGCACACATCCAAGTTTCTAGTTGTTTATTCACCAACAGAAAATGTCACCCTTAATGTGTAAAATGTTTGGCGTTTTAGCATTTCTAGTAATAACAAAGTGTTCATTAAATATGATTTTCATTTCTCTTTGTTTCTCATGTGATTCAGACACTAGGCAGAGCTCGTTTTCTTTCTTACATACAGAAAGGCACAGTTTGTGTTTGAACAACGTTTCTGAGTCAATATCTTTCCAACTCGTTCTCTTATCTTGGTTTAATGTGGTGCCTGTTCTCTATAAGACGTTCAACAGGAGAGAGACAGAAAGCAGCAGTAAGAGATATTTCCTCAATAAAGTAGAAACGTGTTCTTACCGACTGCAGAGACCTCAGTGCTGACAGCTCTGTCTTCTACATATCATGGTGAACATTTCCGATTAAGCTAGTTGGTGTTTCAACGAGGCTGTCTTGATGCAGAATAAGAGAAGGGGTGTTTCTGCTGTCGGTTTCTGTGGTCTGAGTATGTACTAAAGTAAACAGATATTGTTCTAAACTGTATTAAAGTAAACAGGTATTATCTTGAACTGTATTGAAGTGAACATGTATTATTTGGGACTGTTTTAAAGTAATCCTATATAAACCTTCTCACTTACACTCAATGACCCAGATACCCTGCTACACACACGTACACCTCCTTCCACCAGCACACACACATATTATTTGCTCACCTACACTCACTGAACCAGATACCAGCACACACACACATACACCTCCTCCCACCAGCACACACACATTCTGTTCAAGGTTCTTTCTGGGGCCAATATAATCTCAAGCACCAATATATATGTGTACAATGTTTGATTGTCTGGGAAGGAATAGTTTGTGTGAAATCTTCCTTGGGAAAGTAAAGGAGTGAAGTCAGGTGGAAGATAAATATTGACTCTGTCCTCACGCTCTGTTCAGAAGTATTGTACCAATATATCTGTGTACAATGTTTGATGGGAAAGAATAGAGTTTGTGTGAAATATTCCTTGGGAAAGTAAAGGAGTGAACGCAGGTGTAAGATAAAAAGTGACTCTGTCCTTGTTTACTTCCGAGGCTCTCACGCTCTGTTCAGAAGAAAAATACTTGTTCCCAGAACTCTCATTCGCTGTATTGGGCCCGACCCAAAGTGAATCCAACCAGTAAGAACACCTAGGGGAGTGAGCAGCCGACCCAACTCCTCCCCACGGACTCTCTGATTCGCTTAGGAGTAAAATGGGATGGAAGAGCCGACACACATCTCCGCCCCAAATATGTCTATATATACTGTTGTTTATTCATGCAAAATGCCCCCTGTTTCTGACTGGCTGGTCCCGATATCTGTATCGCACGGCAGTAGAGCGGGGAGCCCGGAGTGCTCTGTTACAGGGCACTCTGTATTTCGTATTGTGTTTGTTATAGGGCTGTCAGTCGATTAAAATAGTTAATCGCGATTAATCGCAAATTAATCGCACATTTTTGATCTGTTCTAAATGTACCTTAGAGGAATATTTTTCAAGTTTTTAATACTCTTATCAACATATGAGTGGACAAATATGCTTTATGCTAATGTTTATTATCATTTGAACAATGACAAATATTCTCATGAATATTAAACACAACAACCTCTGAACATTACAAATATTCGCCTCAATTCAACCTGGAACCTCTCTCATTCAATAATACAATACAAATGGTGTGTGTGTGTGTGTGTGTGTGTGTGTGTGTGTGTGTGTGTGTGTGTGTGTGTGTGTGTGTGTGTGTGTGTGTGTGTGTGTGTGTGTGTGTGTGTGTGTGTGTGTGTGTGTGTGTGTGTGATGGATCGTTGGAGCTATGTGCAACTCAAGGCATATGCTCGAACGGGAGCTGCCTGGACGCTGCAATCAT